GAGGTAAAGTTTTTTTCAGTTTTTAATTAAGATAAATATTTAAGGAACAAAAAATAATTGCCTTCCTCGCATGAAGCACCTCAAAAGGGGGATCTCGAAAATAAATTAACTCTCCGGGATATTAAAATCAACATTTTTAAGCGATTTGAGTTCTGCAATTTATTCTCTTCAAAAAAATTGTGTTTGTTTTCTATCTAAAATTTTTGAATTTTTCTTCTTGTTCTCTTTCCAGGACCTCCGGTTGTAGCCGAATCAATAGTCGGCACCCATGCAAGACTGCCATGTAATGTAACCCCACCATTACTCGAAGATCGTGTGGCCTTGGTGATATGGTATAAAGTTGGACTGAAGACACCCATTTACAGGTGAGAAAACTAAACCAGATTTTTACGCCCTTCACCACACTGTGGTACAGGGTATTATGTCTTTGTGCATATGTTTGTAACAGGCAAAAGGAAACGAGACAGACACATGGTTCCTTTTGAGAATATGCATAGAATCACTTGGGGGAATCGATTCAGATTTAGATATAGCTCCGATATATTTTTGTCCGATTTTAGGTATACAGGGTTGCCCATATTCGACGGACCCATGTTTTTTTTTTTAAATCAAGGAAAAAAATAAAAAAATGGCGGTTGGCAATGTTAATCATTTAATTTGTTTATTTATCTCTCAAATGGCCGCCTCTGTCGTTGATGATATATTGTGCCCTTTTTGCTGCATTTTCCATCGTTTTTGCCAACATTTCGGAGCTCTTCTACGGTCCTTGGCTTGTTAACGTAAACCTTTGACTTCAAATATCCCCACAAGAAGAAGTCAGGCGGCATCAAATCGGGCGAACGCGGTGGCCAGTCCAAATCACCTCTTTTCGACATCAAACGGTCCGAAAACAAATTCTTCAGAACATCGATTGATATGCGACTTGTGTGCGTGGAGCGCCGTCTTGTTGAAACCAGAACTGCCTCATACGCTTTCGACGAATAATGGACATCACAAAATTGGTCATCATTTTCGCACTAACGACCCACCAAACTGTGACTTTTTCGTCATGAAGAGGCACTTCTTGAATCTCCTGAGGATTTTCAGTGGCGTAAAAACGGCAATTTTGCTTATTTACGGTGCCATTCAATGTGAAATGGGCTTCATCGGACATGATAATTTTGTTCCAAAATTGCTCGTCATCTTCGGCCATTTCGATGACCCTTTGGGCCCATTCCAATCGACGAGGCTTGTCCGCAGGCAACATTCTGTGTACCAAAGTCCCTATATATATTTCGATTTCCACGAAATTTGGTATAGGGTACTGAATTAGGTCTAGAACAATGTGTGGTAAGTTTCCTAAAAATCGGTTCAGATTTAGATATAGTTCCCATATATATTTTCGTCCGATTTAATGTAAATGGTAATCCAAAGCCCCTATATATCTTTCGATTTGCACGAAAGTTGGCACAACGTACTTAATTAGGTAAGGAAGGATGTGTGCTAAGTTTCGAGAAAATTGGTTCAAATTTAGGTATAGCTCCCATATATAGTTTCGCCCGATTTTAGGTAAATGGTGTACCAAAGTCCTTATATACCTTTCGATTTGCGCGAAATTTGGTATATTTTACTGAATTAGGTCTAGAATGATGTGTGCTAAGTTTCGTGCAAATCGGTTCAGATTTAGATATAGCTCCCATATATAGCTTCGTCTGATTTTAGGTAACTGGTGCATCAAAGTCCCTATATATCTTGTGATTTGCTCGGAATTGCTCGGATGTCCATATATATCCTTCGATTTGCACGAAATGTGGCACAGCGCACTGGATTAAGTATAGAAAAATGTAGCTAAGTTTCGAGAAATTCGGTTCAGGTTTAGATATAGCTCTTATATATATTTTTTCGTCCGATTTCATGTAGTGGGCCCAGTCCGACTTTACTATTTTCCTTACTGGTTTTAAGTAACTTTATTCCTGAAAAAATTATCTTTCTTTTCCAATTCCTTCCTTCCTCATTCCCTTCCTCTCCATTTGCTGTTCAATGGCAAAGTAAATTCCATTTCTTGGACAACTGGACACCTTAGTGGTCATTCGAATATATCTCCCAGAAAAATTGCAAAAAAATTCTCCACGACATTATCCTTTACTCAGTTCAGACAATTTGATGCCAGGTGTTGTTGCCTCCACTTTCGTTGTTGTTGTTGCTGCTGCCCTCATTTCGAGGCTCATTTTCATTCATTTCTTTGGCTTGCAGGCCGCCACAGAGCTGCAAAAGGGTAATAGCTTGTCATTGCTTGGCTGGGCTGTTGGTGTTGTTGTTGTTGGCTTTTCATTAATTTGTCACAGCAAGCAAATATAGCAGCGACCAGGCGATAAAATGAGATAAATGACACAGAGGCGGCGAGGATCAGCATAAAAAATTCAGCGTCATTCTTTCTGGTTTCTTGCGCTAATGAGCTGCAAAACTATAGTTTTTCGGTTGGTTTTTTGTCTCTTCGCTTTTTTTTTGGAGGATTCATTTGCAAGGACAAAGTTTTTTTGTTGGTGTTTTTTTCCTCCTATTGTCCTGCAAAAGGATGTGAAAAAAATCCGTTTGTCTCCTCCTCCTTTCTTCAAAAGGAAACCGAAAAGTAATGTTGATGACAAAACTGACGATAATGATGACACTTTTCTTGCTTTATTGGGCATGTGTGTGGGGGGGAGGGGGTGAGTGGATAATGGACAGGACAAAAGGATAACAAATAATGGTGAGGATTTTTTTTTTTTTGTAATTTTTGTTGGCGAAAATACTGAGGAACTTGAAAACGGAAATGGAGGTTAAATTTTAATGCAAAAACTATGCCAAAAATAAGCAGCCAAGGGAGGATGGACAATAGAGGGCTGGGGAAGGGTATGTTTTTACCACCAGGATAATGATGATGATGAATTACAATTGGATCAAATGTCCATAACCAAAGAAAGCCAAGGAAAAATTTTTCGCCGTTTTATTTTGCATGGAGGTTTTCTATTTGCATTGAGCCCCCACATTGCCTTCCCACTTTGTTACCACCAATCTCCTGGCCTCCATTACCCTGTAATCTTTGGCCATTACCACATCAACAAGAATTCCCTCCCCAGCCAACATGAACTCATTATGACGAATAACAACAACAAAGGGAAAAAGATATCCTTTTGTGTCATTATTCCAATTGAGGATTCTTCAAGTTTTTTTTTTCCTTTTTTTGATTCTTCTTCTTCCCCATTTGGATGTTGATATTTGTTTTATTGTCCGACAATTGTTTTAATTTCTGCCATTCTCATTTTGACAATTCATTTTCTTTGATTTTTTTTATTCATATCTCCTTTATTTATTTTTCTCTGTCTCTTCTTTTACAGTGTTGATACCCGTGAATCGAACTTTTCCCATGCCACTCATTGGTCAGATGAAGCATATCGAGAACGTTTGTCCTTTGCCCTCGATGGCCGCACCGGTACACTAACCATGACAAATGCCCAACAGGAGGATACGGGCGAATATCGGTGCCGTGTCGATTTTCAAAAGAGCCCAACACGTAATTCCAAAGTTAATTTGACCGTCATAAGTAAGTATTGAATGTTACAACAACAAAAACAGCAAAAATTTACAAACTGTGAAATACCAACAACAACAAAATAAAATTGAAGAGAAATAAGAAATAAATATCCTCAAATAAAATCGAGAAAATAAAAACATTAACATGAAGAACCATGACGAGAAATTACAAAAGGGATTCATTAACACAAAGCATACTTCGTTTACAATTGTTTCCAACTTCTCAATGCTATCGTATGTCGATTGAATGCGGGTTGAAGTAAATTACAACAACAAAAACAAACTGTAGTTGTTATTGGAAATAAATTAAGATATTTATTGCAATACTTGGAGATTCGTCTTTAAGAAGAACATTAAATATTGCAGACATATTGAACAATTTTAGGTTTTAAGTCGGAAATCGAGCCGGATAGTTGGAAGAGACCAAAATTGGATAGGGAACCTTTAAAATTTCGTCGGAGCTCAATACAGAAATATGCGCTCTTCGATGTGGGAATAAAACATAAAAAATCCAAACTTCGCTAAGTTCGCAGGGGTCGAACTTTGTATGCCCTCCGCCATGAGGTGGTCATTCAAAATACCAAAAATCGATAGGGATATTTATATGAAGGCAAGGTAAATCTCTGTCAATAAAAAACGAAATACCAAACAGCAAAAAGTCAGGTCAGAATATAGGGGTAGGATTTTGAACATTTTGCAAGACGTTTGTATGGGCCTGTAAAGAAATATGGTCTTATATTATAAAAAACGGACAGGATGATTATATGGATCCTATAGCCAGAGATCGACAGATACTTAAAATTTTTTATAGGGTTCCCCCAAAATAAAAAATAGAAAAAATGTCGATCGACTGCATGGCGAAGCAAATTATAATAGAATTTTTAATACTATTTTAATGTTCAGAAAATTGAGAAGAATTTATCGAATAAGACCAAATTTTGATTTCCTTTACAATACCATTGAAATAAAAATAACTCCAGGTCTTTGATAAAAAACATCCAGGGCTTTCTTAAGAAGATCTCCAGGTCTGCTATAAAAATACGTCCAGATATTCGATAAAAAGAGTTCCAGGTTTTCGATAAGAAGAGCTCCAAGTTTTCGATAAGAAGAACACCAGGTCTTCGATTAGAAGAGCTCCAGGCCTGCGATAAGAGGAGCTCTGGGACTTCAATAAGAAACGCTTCAGGTCTTCGATAAGGCCTTTGACAAGAAGACCTCCAGTACTTTGATAAGAGAAACTTCAGGACTTCGATAGAAGAGCTCCAGGTTTTCGATAAGAAGAGCTTCATGTCTTCGATAAGAATATCTTCAGGATAAGAATAGCTACAGGTCTTTGATAACAAGAGCTTCATGTCTTCGTTAAGATGAACTCAAGGTCTTCGATAAGAATATATCCAGCTCTTTTATAGAAACATGGACTTGTATTGAAAATATTCTCTAAAGAAGTTACCGGAATGGAAAAAGTACAGCCACATCGTAATACTAAACATCAATTCGATTGGAAAATGATTATAGGACCATCAAAAACCTATGATGGGACCGATCTCATGTGTTTAATGTTTGATAGCCAATGTCAATTTCAGCCAATGAAATCGGTTTAAAAGCAGGTCTGATACCCTCAACATAATAAAAAACAGTGAGCGGGGCAGTATTGTCAGGCGAAGCCGACCCTTTAATGTCCTATACATTTATCAATGAACTCAAAAAATTCTGGAGATATATGTTCCGATCCCAGTCAATATTCAGCGATATTTGCACCCTCTTTCACGATTAGAGTTCAACAACTCATTTTTCTTGCTGTGGAATATTTTCCGAATCTTGTTTTCTCGGGGTGGTTAATCTGACCCTCTGAATATTGATCATTAACAGCCAATCTCATTAGTTGTCCAGATCCCCCTCCGCGCTTAAAAATTGTGATGTTCGGTAGTGACCTCTAGAGGGACTATATAACTAGACATACATTAAAAATTTCTGTACATTTCATGTCTAAAGATTATCTGATCATTACCGAAAATTATAGGCGTCGTCTAGGACCATATTCCGAACTTAAAGTAAATTAATTTAGTGATTAGAGCACAATTTACGCCCTCAAGTGTGTTAATGATAATATTGAACAATATCAGAATAGGTCGGCTCCTGTAAATATTTACGTATAACTCCACATCCGTGTAAATACTTGGTATCAATTTTAAGGTCAGCTACTCCTTTTAGATATATCATCTACGTCTACGTCCTTCAGGAGTAAATATATAAGCCCAAGAATACATATTTTTTATTTTTCAAAAAAAAAAAAATTTGGCCTATTTAACCTGCTAAATCTTGAATTATCCTCATCAAAACAGTCATGCACATTCTATGGTCAAACACCTTTCTCTGTGTAAAATTTCCTGATGTTCGGGTCATAATTGTGGCCACTAGAGATACAAAAAATACGGACAAAAATAAAATGTTTGGTTCATTTCAATTAACCGATCATTACCAAAAACAATAGGGGCCTTCTTTGCATGAACCCGTTCTTCATGCAAAATCTCGTGACGATTGGTCCATTACTGTGGCCTGTCGTATTTACAAAATATAATGGACATATGCTGAAAGGTGGGTCTGAGGCCAATATTTTGCCGCATTACAAACTATTGCGGCCACACAGAGAAGTAATACCCTTACAACATAGGTTATAAAAATTATGTCAAAATGTGTTTTCTTTGGCGTTTAACAATACCTGATTGCCACATCATAGCCACTTCGAGGGAAAACATGTTATAGGTTTACCAGTGCTTAGGTTTAGACTAATATTCCTTGAGGCCACACAAACTTTTACCCTCGCACCATAGTTATGTAAGGTATGAAGTAAAAGAATCTGACTAAGTACCCCGAGTAACGGGGTTGTAGTATTAACCGGTCATTACCAAAAACAATAGGGTCTTCTTTGGCCAGAATGCGTGCTCCATGCAAAATTCCGTGACGATTGGTCCATTACTGTGGCCTGTATTGCGTTTACAAACTATAATGGACATACGCCAAAAGGTGGGTCTGAGACCAATATTTCGCGACATTACAAACACAAAGCAATAATACCCTTACAACATAGTTGTGTAGGTTATAAAAATTATCTGAAAATGAGTTTTCTTTGGCGTATGGCAATACCTGATTGCCTCATCATAGCCACTTCGAGGGAAAAATTCACCTGAAAACCTTCAAAATAATGAGAAAATGCCTAAACTCCCCAAAATATTGAATATTGTGATATGTAGATGTCAGGGGATACCCTAAAAAGGTTATAGGTTTACCAGTGCTCGGGTTTAGAACAAATATTTCTTGGGGTCACACACATTTTTACCCTCACACCATAGCTATGGTAAGGTGTGAAGTAAAAGATTCGGGCTAAGTGACCCGAGGTAGCGGGGCTTTAGTATTTCTGTTTTAGTAGTATTTTTGTATTAATCCGCCAAAGAAACGTCTCTCCATGCAGATACTGCATTGACAGCATCCTGTTATATGGATATACGGCTAAAACCTTCACCTCCTCAGGTAAATGGTCCACCGTCTCAATTTCCATGGCGGTATTCCGAATGGTTTGAATATTTTTCCACTGCGAATCGCTTAAATTCGCAGACCACATCGGCGTCGCATAGCTTATCACCCAACCGACCTATTGTTTTTATACCCTTCACCACACTGTGGTACAGGGTATTATGTCTTTGTGCATATGTTTGTAACAGGCAAAAGGAAACGAGGTAGACCCATGGTTCCTTTTGAGAATATGCATAGAATCACTTTTTAAGTCGATTTATGCATGTCCGTCCGTCCGTCTGTCTGTCCATGTATTTTTGTGAGCAAAGTACAGGTCGCATTTATGATCCGAATTGGATGAAATTTGGCACAGCTCATTTGTTTGGCCCAAGGACGAACCCTATTGAAATTGGGAAAAATCGGTTCAGATTTAGATGTAGCTCCCATATATATTTTCGTCCGATTTAATGTAAATGGTGTACCAAAGTCCCTATATATCTTTCGATTTGCACGAAATTTGGCATAACGTACTGAATTTAGCCTAAAATGATGTGTGCCAAGTTTCGAGAAAATCGGTCCAGAGTTAGATATAGCTCCCATATACATTTTGGTCCGATTTAAGGTATATTGTACACCAAAGTCCCTAAATATGCTTCGATTTCCACGAAATTTGACATAACGTACTGAATTGAGCCTAGAGTGATGTCTGCCAAGTTTCGTGAAAATCGGTCCAGATTAAGATATAGCTCACATATATAGTTTCGTCTGATTTCATGTAAATGGTGCACCAAAGTCCCCATATATCTTTCGATTTGCACGAAATTTAGCATAACGTACTGAACTGATGCTGGAATGATGTATAGTTTCGTCCGATTTCATGTAAAAGGTGCACCAAAGTCCCTATATATCTTTCGATTTGCACGAAATTTGGCACAGCGTACTGAATTTAGCCTGGAATGATGTGCACAAAGTTTCGTGAAAATCGGTTCAGAGTTAGATATAGCTCCCATATATAGTTTTGTCCGATTTAAGTTATATGAAGCACCTACATATCTTTCGATTTGCACGAAATTGTGCATAGTGTACTGAATTGAGTCTAGAATGATGTGTGCCAAGTTTCGAGAAAATCGATTCAGATCTAGATATACATATTTTCGTCCGATTTAATCTAAATAATGTACCAAGTTCTTATGTTGCATAGCGTTTTGAATTTAATCCAGAATGATGTGTGCCAAGTTTCGTGATAATAGTCTTGTTTAATATACCCATAGTGGTGAAGGGTATCATATAGTCGGCCCCGTCCGACTTTACTACTTTCCTTACGGGTTTAAGAGATCGAAAATGTTTTTTTGTCAGCACACCAAAAGCTGCCGACGAGCGACTTGAGGAATTTTTCCTATTTGTACGAAAATAGCGGTGACTTGCGTACTCCATCGAGCATGAAGCTAAGTGGGAACTCCATTTGATGAAGTTTGGCACAGCTCATATACATAGTTCAAG